AACTAAGATAACAATTTACAATTTTTAAAATAATTTATTAATTATAAAGAGTGCTAATATCGCTAGTTAAATAATAAATGAATAAATAACATAACAATTAACTTAAGCCAAGCTAGAAATATAAAAAAAAAATATTTATAGGTGATTTTAGTATAACAGAAACATTATTTTTTGTATTACTATTTATTACTGTCTCTATTTAAGAACAACAAATTTAATCGCTTATCAATCAATCAATCATCTATAAATATTTTTTATTGTTGAAAATTTTGCTTAAGTACTCCTCAAAGTATGCAATGTAAAATTTAGGAACTTGTTTTAATACTCTAGATAAATAATATTAAAATAGCAGAGGGATCTAAAGTTAAAGATACTTTGATTCTTCATATTACCAGAGATATTATTATTAAAGAGCTTTATTTTCAAAATGAGTTATTAATCCAATATTCTTCTTGATATTTCTAAAATAAGCTTAAGTTCTTTTGGTATATGCTCGTCTTACTTAAAACTAAATAAAATAATATCTATAGTAACACTTATAAGATATATATATCATTGAAATAAAATAATAATTTAATTGAATCATTTAATATTTTTAAATTCTTTAAAATATAAATTTATTTGAGAATCCGTTGCTTAAATTATTAAATATAAAAGTAAGCAGATTCCACTCATTTATTCCATAAGATTATATGACTAAAGCAGACACCTTGCATACTTTGACAGAAATATTATAAGTTATTTATTGTTTGATTTTTTATATATTTGCTCCACTGTGCCTGTGTAAGTTCTGTGTTAGTGAATTGCTGGGGCAGCATTGGTCAGTCCGTCGACGGACAATGTCCGTGTGTGTTTGTTTATGTTTGATGAAGCTGTTCAGAGGGAGCGGCTGTCGCTGCTGTTGTCCACTGTCCACTGTCCAGTGTCCGGTGTCCGGTGTCTCAGTGTCCGCTGCACGTTGCACGTTGCTGGCCGCTGCTGCTGTTGGTGGCCATTAGGCGCGGCCTGTGGAAAGCCTGCGGGCCGCAGGATAATGACACCCCGGCCAAGCGGCGAACTGATCCAGCACAGTTATTTCAGCTGCATTTTAATGAAGCATTTGGCTTTCGCTTTTGATGGGCGTGGCTTTTTCGTCGATGCGTCACGCAACTTTTTATTCAGCGCAATTTTTTATGATTTCAGGAAATGGCCAAAAGCCACGAAGCATCATCTTTTCAATTTTAATATATATATATATATAAATATATATATATATATATCTATATATATGTATACTGTGTACATATATATATTTATTTTTTGTTGGTAGTTTGAGTGGCTAACAAGCCGCTAACAAAGGCAAACAAGGCTGCAGCGATGGCTCCTTCTTCAGCTCCTGATCCGTAAACGTCGCAACGATCGCCTTTGCTCTTTTTGATTGTCGGCAAATATTTGGCCTGCTTCTTTTTCGGCTCGTTTTCTTTGGGGTGCTCTGTTATTATTTGGTTGATTAATTAACATGCCACACACTGGACCACCGAAGGTGGCAACAGCGCCCGCGGCACCATCAGCAAAAAAACAACAACAAAATGCTGACAAGGATAACACAGAGTGTAACAATAACAACAACAGCTGCTAATAACAAACAAAATACTAGGGAGCTACAAGTGACCCGTTTGTTTAACAGTTTGAGAGCCACACACTTTGAGCAGCATTGCATGCCTTGCAGTCAGCCAAATTTAAGTAGCATTATTTATAGTAATTGCTTGACTATTTATTCAAGAAAACATTAAGCTTGAACTCTAACAAATATTCATAGGCTAAGTTTTGTATTTTCATTAAAGCTTGATTATTGTTCATTATTTTTCTATTTTTATATTTGTTATTATATATTTAATTATTATAATTATTATAATAGGAAAAACATATTTATAAATAAGCAATATGCAATGTATAATGTAATAATCAATAAATATTTAGAGCTTTTATTTGCAATATTTTAAAGTGAATCAGCAAATTAAATAAATAAATTCATTACTGCATTGATTCTACTCCAGTTTCAACCAATGACATCAATTTTATATATTCTTTAAGTCCATACTCTAATCTAATAAATTGACTGCAGTCTATTTAGTCTACTAATCTTTAAGACTTTTTTTAATTTGAGCTGTTAGATGTAAGATTTGTTTGGGTCTTCCAGATGAGTTGCCCGACTTTCAAGGACAGAATGGCTCAGCTTTAAAATAAATATGTATCTAATAAATGCTAGTCGAGTTAATATTCTTATATTTATTTATTAATCTTAAGAATATATGCAAGAGTTGAGTAAAATTATAAAGAAGAAAAAAAGCTTGAACGGCCATTGTAGCACACTTAAAGAAGAACAATAAAAGAATAAGCGATCAACAGCTACCGATATCAACTCTCTTAGCGGACACGACCCCCAAAAATAATAATAAAAAAAAGCTAAAAAAAAAAACAAAAACCAAATTGAGATCGTTTCACAAGAGAGCAAAATCGAAGCCAAAGACCAAAGTAAAAGCCAAAGGTTTATGGCTGCTGCACTGGCTCCCAAACTTGGACTCCATTCATGTGCCTCTCGCTCCGAAGAGTGTCTGTTATGGGTGTGTGTGTGTGTGAGTATGTGTGTGTGAGTGAATCCACTTCATTTTGTAGTCTTTGTCCGATGTTCTGTGGCCGTCTGACTGGCTGTGCTTTTTTTTTTTGTTGCAGTTGTTGTTCTTGTTGTTCTTGTGTTGGAGCTCTTCGAATTTTGGAATTTGTTCAGCCTTGTTAAGAGTTGTTAAGATTATGATATATGTATGCCTGTATATATATATATATATGTATATAATGTATATATATATATATATATACATATGTAGACGATGAAGACGACGACAGCGGCAGCCATTATGTTTCGCAGCAGGAATGTGGGAAACGGCTGCCTCAGACCATTTTTCAGCTACCTTTGCCGCTCTCTGTGTGTGTGCTTCAACAATACTTACACACTCACATATCAACACACACACACACATACATATCATACAGTGGCCACATAATCGATTCATGGCTGGTACGAGTAGCATTTCTTTCATGTTGCGTTGTTAGTTTCTTCTCATTTTTTGCTCCATACGATTTTATGATTTGTTTGAGCGCATCTTTTTGGACCACCCGTGAAATCACTTTGGGTTTGCTTTCGGGGGCTTGGGATTTGGGGCCGGGGCTTTTGTTAAATTGCTCTTGTTTATGTTAACATTTAAATTGTAGCCACGGGTAGCCACATAAACAGACTCACACAGACTCCCGGCCCAGCTCTCCACCAGTCAGCGCACCACCATCAGCAGTAACCCAAAAAAAAAAAACTCAAAATCCAAAAAGAAAAAAGAATTCAAACCGAACACAAGTAAAAACCAATATTTAAACGTAGCGCTCCATGAATAATCATCAGCCGTCATCATCGTCATCATCACGTTGCTCATCTTTTTTTTGGTCCGCTTTTCAACATGGCCATCAATTCTGATTTACGAAAAGTGTTAATTAGCCAACTCAACTTTGATGCTCGTTGTGTGATATATATATATGTATATATACACATATTTTTTTCAACAAACTGCTGTTGACTAAGCCATCACTCTTCAGCCTGAAAACCTGAACCACATTTGAATTTACACACACAAATTAATTGGCGTTTTGCATGACTCCAACTCAAAACTGAAACACGTAATCGAATAGAGTTGTTGGAAGCTGTGGAAAATCCTTGAGCACACCAACGAAGCGTGCTCTGATTTATTATACTGTTATTAATGATATTTTCTATATCACATGTTAGGAAATTATTCTGTGCAATTGCTATAATAAAAATTAGAGATATTTTCGGATAAAACCCTATTTTCCCCATTCTAAGTGTGCTGCAAAAATTGAAGTTTTATTTTAATATGTATTGTGATTAAATGTATTAAATTTGTAAAATAAATTCCCACATTTGGACAAGAGATCATTAACATCGGACTACTATATCATATACATTTCATAGCAACAATCTCTCTGTGTTTTCAGTTATAGTGTAATTTATATGTCGACCGGTTGACTCCGGTCAAGGTTAAGTAAACTTCTTTATAAAATGTTTATTAGTTATGCTATAAAGCTTGTCTGGCTCTGAAGCTTTTATTTTGTTTTTATCGTTTTTGCAATAAAAATAAAATTATAGCTGTAATATGATATTTATTAATGAACAAAATTTACATGAGCCTTAAAAAACTTTATTTATTTCAAAAGAGTAAATGAATTAACACGGATGAATTTTAAATTTAATAAAATAAAGTAAATTTAATTTATAAATTGTGGCAAGCATGACGAATGCAGTAAATTAACTTTAATTTTACCATTATCCAATAGAATTTAATTATTTTTTTAAATAAATAAAGTTATTATGTATTTAACTAATATATTATTTATTTGCATACATTTCTTTTAAGGGTTTCTCAACAACACTGATCAAAAATATATTTTTTATATTTATTAATATTTTTTCCTAGTGCTTCAAGCTTAAATTTATTATTTAAAGCACTAGTTACCAAGAAATGAAACTAAATATTTAATTTTCTAAGAATTCTTTCAAATATTTTCCAAAACATTTGGTAAAACAAAAGTACTCCTTGCCTTATAGCAAGCACTTCGAGCTGAAATTGCCATAAGTTAAAAGTTGTGTTGGTATGAAATAGTTTTGGAGCGACTGTTGTCTCCATTCATAGTTGGCTGTTGTGGCAGTTGCGAGTGTTAATTGCAACTGCTCCCAGTGCCCCAAGTGCCGCGCATAGTTGTCGCCCCATAATTGTCGCCGTCGCCTTTTGTTGTTGCTGTTGCATGTTGGATGTTGACTGCTGTTGGATGCTGACTGTTGTTGACTGCTGTCTGTCAGCTGTCCATCAAAAGCGTTGCCAAGTTGGTGTTAATGGGCGCCTAGAATGCGAGCGCTGTTTGCGGCACTCGTTGTTGTTATCCCCTCCTCCTCCTCCCACTCCCCACTCCCCACACATACACACACACACAGAGCCCTCTGCTTAGCCCATCTCCCACTTGTTGTACATGAAGCTACGCATGTTTTTGCTTGTCGTCCTCCATCGGGGATTACGCGTCAGTTTCGAGTAATTGCCCACGTCCACTTTTTGTTCTGTTTTTTACTTGTTGCCTTGCATTTCATTTATTTTTGGATATGCTTAAAATATAAGAAAAAGCCACACACACTTAAACACACACACACACACACATACTTATGTTGCACACACAATTAACTTGTAGTTTGCGTCGTCCGATCAGCAGCAGTGAAAGTGTATCAGTCGCTCCTAACTCGCTGCTGGCTGTTGAATTTCGCCACCCAATGCCGACAGCTCCTTGAGGAACTGTTTGGCATTGGTCAGAGTGGAGCCGCCATAGATGATCCGTCTGTGCACATTGGATGTCTGCTTCTGCTTGATAAAGTCCACCAGATTCTGGTACTCAATGTAATTGCCGCCGCCAACCATGAAGACGACTGCATCCTGGAATGGTGCACGATTCTTGGGCAGCACATCGCCACCTTTTAGCAACTTGGGATCCAAGTAGAGATAATCATCCGTTTCCGCATTGCTGCGGCATTCCATCACCTGTTCCGTTATCTTTGTCACGGGCAGATTCTGTGCAAGAAAAAAAAATGATTGCAAATGTTAAGAAATATTTTGAAAGCTTATCTTAAGTTCAACAATGATTGCTTTTAAATTAGAATAAATGTTTTTTTTATCAATAGTAGTTTTCCATAGAACAACTGTATTTGAAATTGTTCTACAGATTTATTCAACTTAATATAATGTATGTCTAATTAGTATTCTGTTCTAAGAACCAATGAGTAATATTGGTTTCTCGGTTTTATCTTTTGCATATGTAGTTAAAGTATAAATATTTGGAGTAGCGTCGAAAGATTGTTTCCAAGATAAGATACGATAAACAAACCAATAATGTTACGAAAGATAGCAGTAATAAACGATATCTGTTAATAAATAGGTCTATGAATTGTGGAAAACATAATGAAAGTTCTCCTAGGAAATTATTAAAATCAAAAATGATAAAAGGTCTTTTATATATAAGTATAAAATTAGTTTTTTTCTTTTACTTACATGCCGCTTGACGACCAAATTCTTGACACCCTCCATGACAAAGGAGCTGCCCTGCGAGACGAGCTTGGTGAACATGGAGACGGTTCTGGTGCCGCCGCCCTCATACTGTGTGGCCTGACTAATGCCGGGCGAGTGATTCATGATCGATTTCCAGCGCTGCACATAGGCCAACGCAGTCAGATCACAGCCGGCGGCTTGAAGAGCATCACGAAGACGTTCCATTTCGGGTTCGGGCAGCTGCTGCCCGCAAATGTAGTAGATGATGTAGAGACGCAACTTATCCTCCGGCTGGCCAAAGTCGACATCGCGCAGCAGTTCGAGCAGCGGCTTATCCAATGTCTGCTTGGACATGATCTTCTCCTCGATCTCGAAATAGGAGTCGAGGCGTCGCGCCTTTATGTAGTTCAATATCGCTGTGGCAATCTTGGTGTGCATGTCAATCAGACGCTTCTTCTCCATCAGCTGGGGCAGTGAGTTGACGGCACTCGTCAGCATCGCCGTCGTATCGTTCACCAGCGAGAAGGCAATATCCGATTCACCCTCAATTCCCATTGTGGTCTTTAGTCGTTTGATTTCCTCCTCGGAGCTGCGATACGATTCCAGCTCCTCTTGAATCGCCTCGGCCACTGTCGGAAATGGACTGCCCTTGTGCGTCACCCAGAAACGATCGGTGCGATCCAAATCGCACGCCTTCGGCTTCTTCCGAGCACCTAAAAGAAGAGTGGGCAAATGTTAATTGTTGTTATAAACGGCAAATCAAAATTAATCGACTTGACAGAAATATATCATCGATATCATATCGAAGTTAAACTTGACCTTTTGTCCTTTGCTCTTATATCTTCTATATGCATATATTATTATCGACTTTTGGTTACAAGGAAAGTTATGGAAAAACTACAAAATAAATAGTATCTATGCATGCTAAAATAAAATGTGGCTTGGCATATCGATAATTATCGACTTGCCTTGAAAAAAGCATTGCAAATCTGTAGAAAATGGTACTTTGAAGCGATCTGCGAGTTATATTCAATATTATACAGACATTTATATATATATTAATCCTGAATTAAAGCTCGAAAATATCCTTATCTTATACATTTCGAGAAAATCGCAAGAAAAGCGCTTTTGCATTAAATATTAGCTGATATTTATGATTATCTTAGGTAAATTTGTTAAAGCAATTTTTGTAAGGGTTTTATCGATTACTTATCGATATTTTATCGCATATATACACACACAATATCAGAGTGCTTCTAGTCTCTGAGACATATTTATATCTTACTCAGTTGCTCAACCTGATTCAGACTATAAACAAGCTACATCTTCTACTGCATGCTACATACAGATGCCCAACTATACTATACCCCTTATATATTCACATAGGGTATGCAAACAGGCCATTTGCCTCATCATTCGATTACATGCCTGCACTAACAGCCGTCGCCTCGTCCTCCACATAGACGAGATTCAGCCCCAGATCGAGAACATCATGCACCAGCGCCTGATACGACCAGGTGTGATGCAGTGGCGTTGCCAGATCCATATTGCGATCCAGCAGCAGCAGGACGGGCCGTTGAAAACTGAAGACGCCGCCACCCGCCTGGGTGGCATCCATGTGAAAGAGATTGGCGCGTGCATCCCACAGATTCTCGCGCAGCTTCTTCTCCAGCTTGCGGGCCACCATCTCCGCTGCACTGTTCCTGGGACACCGGATAATCGGCACATTGCCAAGCGTGACAAACAGAGCGAAAAGCGAGTCGACAATTGAATCCATTAGTGCCTCCATTTCCTCGTCACGGGTATTCGCCCGATTGATGGCATAGTAGGAGAGCTGATCGCTCTGCTGATGCTTCAGAATGAAGAAGTCATCCTCCAGACTGATGAAGTTCACATACTGATCGTACACCCGATGTATGTTTGCCACGCAGCCAGCGTGCAAAGCGGCCGCCGCCAGATTCTCGATCTTATTGCGTGAGATGGGCGCCAGGAAGTTTAGATGATAAATGTCGTATAATCCATTCGAGAAATCCTGCTGGATGCGATCGAGATTCTCGTCCGTTGGCAGGCAAAAGTAAACAGCTGGCACATCCGGTATTGAGTCACGATCCGAGTGCAGTTGCCTGAAATTACAGGGTATAAGATTGTGTTTGTATATAAAGTATAAAGTATATTAAAAACTAAAGCTCATATATATCTATTACTGTCTATTCACTTGTCTTTCTGCTCTCCTCCTCACCCAAATTCCCCACACCAGTATTTACCTCTTTACTTAGACTTACAGGGTATCTACTATCGCAAAAAGTTAAATGTTCTTTTTGACTTCCCTTCAACCATGATCATCAACTCAGTTCAGTCCTCACACTTATGTTCAGCTCCTCACTTAGATTTACAGGGTATCCACTGTTCATCATACCTAACCAGGAACTCTTCTTTCTGTCTTCTACCCTCGACCTCAACTCAAATCGCTAGCCTTTATTCACCTCTCTATATGCATCTTTTCATTACTTTTATAGGGTATCTACTATTCTTCTTTCCGAAAACAACTTTGTCTAGAACACTGTTCATTAGCTCACCTCACTTACCACACAACCTACTTCACCTCAATTCAACTCACCTCATTTCACTGACCTATATTCACCTCGTCCCCATTCTTCTTCCAGTCTTCCAATTTGAACCACGATCCTCATCACTACTCAGACTCACCACACTCCCCACACACCTAAATTCACTTCTTCATCTACCCTCCTCATTACACTTTCACCCTTTCAATCCATCCAGCTCGCTTACTCACACATGCAACGTCACGCTTAATTCGCGCAATTCCTTGATCGAAATGATGGGCGAGATGATATCCTGGCCGACGCGATCGTAGATGAGAATCTTCCACACTGGCTCCGCTGCCAGGGCTTTTGGTTGCTGCGAATTCAAATTAAGCATTTGCTTAATTGCATCTGAAACACGAAAGCAGAAATAGAAAACATAAAAAAAAACTTTTATAGCTTTTCTACATTCGAAATAATTGAGATTTACGCACTTATTTGTCGCTCTCGCAGTGTTAGCATCGTGTTTGTGTTTTGTTATTTCAGTGACAGCTAATGAAATTGTAGTTAATTGTTGAAATTATGCTAAAAACAACATAATATACAAAATGTACAAAATACAACACGTCACAAGCGCTTGGAATGCGTTATGGTTTAATTTAGTACATTATGCAGAGCAACAGCTGTTTGCTGATAGCTTAACCGGATTGTGTGGCGGTTGAGCGATACATCGATAGTACAACGCTGCAGCAGGTAATTGTATGCGACAGCTGTTTAGCTAGCGATGAGCATGTAACAATGGGCATAGCTCTGTTAGATAACATCTGCTCAATTGAGAGAGTGTAGAAAGTTTAGTAAGATCTTGTTTAATGTAGTTATTAACGCTCAATAACAAGTTGGATAGTTTATTAACTAAATCTTGTTTAACATATTTTAATGTTAGTGGACGTTTAGCTCAGTTAATTAAAAATAGCTAGATTTGTCACCACTGATGTTAACAGTCCAACACTGACTCCGCTCATGAGCGGAACTGCTCTCTGCTTTCTCTCTTACTGTCGACGACAATTCTGTTGACATTTTGCGTCAAACTTTCGAAGTGAGCGGATGTGCGTCGCGAACGCAGCACAACAAGTTCGACGCGTATTTTTCCCCCCAAACGCAAAACAAGAAGTGCAACGAAACTCAAAACTAGTGTTAATTTGTGTAATGTGCATCGCAATGATTGTAAACGAGCAAAAGCAAAGAATTCGTCAATCAACAAAATCGTGTTATTCAATTCAACGTAATTTGTTAAACAATTGCCGCCGCATGGCGAAATGCCGACGACATTTTTCGGTTAGTTGCTGTTATCATTATTTACAACAGAATCGCGTTTTTCTGTTGTTCGTAGTCTGCAATTTGTTGCTGCTATCTGCGAATCACAGCGATGCGCAGCTGTTGATAAATGTACAAAATCAGGTATGAAAATGCGGAATAATAATAATAAGAAACAAAAAAAAAAAAACGAAAAAAAAAACATGGCTCGAGACGCTGGCAGCGCTGCTTACGTAGCTGCTGCTTTTCGAACATTCATTTCGAAATTGAGAGCGATGACAGACCAAAAGAGAGAGAGAGAGAGCGTGCTAAAATGAGAAAAAGATTTGTTGTTATTTCTCAGCTGCTGCTTTGTTGTCTAATTTGTTTAATTGCTGCAATTGTTGAGCTGACCTTGAAATTATTTTTTGACTTGCTTATTGAATAATATTTGCTTTCCTTTTCGAAATCATAATATTGACATACTTTTGGCTTTGCTATTCCATAAATTTTAAATTACACTCGCCAAAACACAAAATAAAACAGAACAAAGAAAGCTATTTTTTCTTGCCTTTTATGTTTAGATTTGACATCCTTTGCTGCAGCCTCAGCTGCTTCTGCTGTTACCTCTGCTTCTTCTGCAGTTGCGGCTTTTTTCCTTTTGCTGTCCCTGGCCCCAAAATGTTTGTCAGATGCTGTCGACGTCGCCGTCGCTGTCGCCGTTGCTCTCCGCTTGCGCTTTGTTTACATTCGCTTTGTTCAAAGTAACACACACACACATGCAATGTGCATACACAAATAGACCACATTACACACACACACATACATTTATGCACGTGTGCATTTCCCAGCTGCAACTTTTGCATTTGACATTGAGTTGGATGCTTAAATAAAGTTTTTCATCGAAACGTCCTCGGCTAGCAATATACATAAATGTTAACAGTTTGACAAAATGACAAATTGACAGTTTGACAGTCAGCCTTGAAAGTTCGCTTTGATAGCTGTCAAAGTTATTGGCAGCCATTTTATAGCGAAACAAATACTAAGTGGTCTGTTTAGGGTTGCCATATTGTGAAATTCATTGCACATCGAATTGGGATTATTATTACAGCTGCCAAATCATAAAATTTATTGCAAATTGAATGGGGATTTTATTAAGCTTCAAATACAGGCACATAAATATCAGCATTGTAAGGAACAGTGAAGTTCTTTAATGTAGCAAAAATAAAATAAGCCAAATAATCGATTATTTTGTATTGCAAAGTTTTTCCAATTCGTGAATAATTGTTTTTGATAATGGAAAACTTAATAATTTTATTTAAGAAATATTTAAAGTAATTAATTTCATTTTAAGAATATTCTTGTAGATTTGAATATTATATTTCGTGAGAAAAGTTGTTTTGCTGGAAATGAATGTGATTTTGCAGAACATATTCACGCCTAAAAGTTCCACTGGGTGGGTGCAAGCATATGTATAAGATACTTGTGTATGTATTCTTCTTCTTCCTCTCCTTTTCCATCTTGTTGTTGTTATGTTTCTGCTTGTCATGTTGTTGAACTACATTTGGTGACAGAGGAGCCAACGAGTCCCGACGAGTTCATCTCAGCTCCCCTCCTGCTTCCTCTTCTGGTTGTTGCCTTGTTTTTAGTTTTTCGCAATTTCACTATTTCCGCTATTTCTTATTTTTATTTTTGCGCTCAACTCTCTTGACTCTCATTTGGTTCATGGTCGCTCCGCTACTGCTGCTGCTGGCTGCGTCAGATGTAGTTAATTTGTTTGTGTTGGCAGCAGAGGCGGCGACAGAGGCAGAGGGCAGCAGCAGCGTCGCCTTCTTACGTTCCCATTTGTTTGCACGCATCTCTATTAATATTCTAGTGTATGCGTGTGTATGTGTGTGTGTGCGTGTTGTGGGTGGGGGTGAGAATGAAAGCAACTCCGTCGAGTTTAGTTTTGAAATTACTTCAACTTGTTGCTTCCATCTGCATTTGTTCATTTCTGGTTGTTTTTCGCAGGGCGGCGAGGTGATACAGGAGAGTATCACGTCCAACGTTGGCGAGGATTTGATTACGCTGGAGTTCCAGAAGACCGACGGCACCCTCATCACCCAACTCATCGACTTTCGCAATGTAAGTATATCAGTGGTGGGGGTAATAAATAACTCGAAGTTGCCTTTAGAGGCTCTCGTTTCAAAACTGAAACAAGTTGCAACAATTGAAAACTCAAAAAAAAAAAAGTGAGAAGTGTAAATTTGAAGCACTTTATAATTAATTAAATTTTTTTTTAATTAAAACAATGTCTTACAAAATAAAAGGCGCTTTTGCCAAAGAATATTCTCTTTTATAGAAAATTCTTAATTGTTGTCATCAGTTCTTTAACAATTATTATTTCCTTTATATAAAATTATAAATATATATAAAATTCTTCAAAGCATTTCTTTCAGTGCAATGTTTTACAAGACAAACGCACTTTAAATGAAATTGAAACTAAAAAAAACTGTTTTCTTTTTCCCCTTCTCCATTTTGTTGCAGGAGGTGCAAATCCTGAAAGCTCTGGTGCTGGGCGAGGAGGAGCGCGGCCAGAGTCAGTATCAGGTGATGTGCTTCGCGACCAAATTCAACAAGGGCGACTTCATCTCGTCGGACGCGATGGCCAAGCTGCGCCAGAAGAATCCCCACACGATACGCACCCCCGAGGAGGACAAGGGCCGCGAGACGTACACGATGAGCAGCTGGGTCCAGTTGAATCGCTCATTGCCCATCACTCGCCATCTGCAATCCCTTTGTGCGGAGGCCACCGAGGCCACCTATGTCCGGGATGTGGACCTCAAGGCGTGGGCGGAACTGCCAGGTGAGTTGAAGTCTAATTAATCTTGACGGCCGCCAACCACCACAGCCCCCACTTAAAAGCAATTGAATTAATTGCTGCTTTTGATTTCAACTGACTTAGCACAAGAGCAAAGTACTTAATTCAAAGTACAGTAAGTAATCGATTTGCTGGCCAGCTGACCTGTTGGAATAACAGCATAGCAAATGGGACTTTATTTAAAACTCAACTGATTTTAATAATAATGGACTTTAATGGAAATTTAATTCAAGTGCCATTCTTCTTCTTTTGGTCTTAGAGAAACTGAAATTATTTTCAAATTAGACTCCAACAGTCACTTTAGTTGAACTTTTACTCAAAACAGTTGCAGAATAAAGTCAGCTTATATTTAATAATTTAGATAAAGCTAAGTATGTCATGCAGTGCATAGCTGTTCAGCATAGGCAGGCATTACTGTATATTTTCACATTTTTAAAGACTAAATAGTTTCCAAACTTTAACTTTAAAGTGAAATCTTTTCTTGTGATGAGTTTTCTTGAAATCGAATAGAATTTTTAAAATGCGCCAACTTTAACGAAAACTATTTACTTATTTTTATATTTATTTTGCTTTGTTTATTTATTTTTTTGTTGTTGCAACACCTCGCCCCTTTTTTTATGTGTGACATTAGGTTCGTCGATTTCGAGCCTGGAGGCAGCCACCGAAAAGTTTCCTGAAGCGCTGTCGACACGTTGCAACGAGGTGAGCAGTCTGTGGGCGCCGTGCCTCTGCACGCTGGAGACCTGCATCGGTTGGTATCCCTGCGGCCTGAAGTACTGCAAGGGTAAGAGCAATGGCGATACATCGGCAGCGGGTGGCGGGCAACAGGGTCAGTTGCAACAGCAGCAGCAGACGAATTATCGTTGCGGGATCAAGACGTGCCGCAAGTGTACACAGTTCACCTATTATGTGCGACAGAAACAGCAGTGCCTCTGGGATGAATGACGACGCGGCGACTGGCAGCGACTGCGACAGTTGCACATGCTGCAGATGCGCTGCGTCAAGCAGCTGCTGCTGCCATGCAAAACTCAAACTCAAATACGAGCAACGACAATAACAACTGCACAAACTGCAACAACAACAAAAACAACGACCAACAAATTACGCCAACTGCTTTTGTTGGTGCAACAGCAGATGCCTTTTGCACTGTGGAGCTTTCCGGTCCATCACATTTCCCATCAGCAACAACAAACTGTCGCTCAATCCCATGTTGATGCTCATCATCATCATCATCATCATCATCAGCAGCAGCAACAACAACCTCATCAACATCATCAGCAACAACAGCAGCAGCAGCATCCATCAACAATGGCCGCCATCCTGGCGTGATAATGCCTCTGAAAATCGGACTCAGACACACACAACACTCTATTTTTTTTTTGCTGTACATAATGTATATATACTACTGTTTAGTATATAGCCAAGCTAAACTTACGCTTATGCCGTTTAGGTTAGTCAACAAAAAAAATGAGCAAATCACATTTTAATTATACCTGAATCATTGCCATTCATAATACAAATTGTTCTCATTTCTATAATAATTATTTTTGCTTTTGTTAAGATGTTTTTTGAATGTTCATGTTCATGTTCAAGTAAAATGAACATTTGTATTCCACTTTCAGTCAGCTTGTTACTTACATTTTTGTATAAATATTATTTGATTTTATTCAGAATTTTATGCCACGTTGAAGTCATATTACAAGAACTGTTGCTCTTTGATCTTCCTACTTAAATTACACAATTTTTTTTGCATACATTCTTGCTGCTCTTTCCATTGTTTACACACTCAAATTCATTACTTTAATTACACTTTTTTTTAGCATTTTTCTGACACACTTTTACTTAAATTTTTGCCGTTTCCTATGAACACTTTTTACATTCAAACTTTTTCAGTTCCTTATGAAATCGTCCTTTATAATAATTTACTTATTTAAGCCTATTATTATGAAAAATTCATGTTGCCTAAACTCGTTTCATATTCAATCCTAAAACTCCAACTTTTATGCTTGAGTTCCTCATTTCCTTATTTATACATTTCGGAGAACTTTTTCTTATTATCTTTCCGGCTTTGTTTATCTTTACTGTCTGCATTCAATAATGGCTAATTAGGTTTATTTACAGAGTTCGACACATTTCTTCGCTCATTTGTCATAATTAATGTGTACATAATACAAATGTTTATCGCTTCATTAAATATTCGGGCTTAAAGCTTACACCTCAATCATATTATTATTTTACGCAACAAAAAATAAAGAAGAAAAACATAAACAGCTCAAGTACTAAATTTCATCTAGCATTTAGAATTGAACAAATATTTAAATATATTTAAAGAAGATAAAAATAAATTAAATGTGGCCTTAGCATATTTTATGAGCGCAACTAGAAAAGAAGTTTGTAAAATTAAGGGATTTGACATAAAATACACAGAATTAATTGTACTATCTGAATTGTGCTCATAATAGAAATAAAGAAAACGTTTACTTTCCATTTAAGGTTAGTTTTTAAAGAGTTCTAAATATACTTTATTGATACTAACCGAAACGACTGCCGCAAATGCTTTTTATATAATTAAAACCCAAACAAAAATGGCTGTTCCGTATTAATCTTAAATAATCATAAATGACAAAGCATTTTTAAATATCTTTTTTTTTCAAATAAAGTAACTCCAAAAGTGTTCCGTAAACCACAAAATTAAAAAAAACCAATAAAATTTCGTACATTTTAATCAAATTCCTTTTTAAATCTAAACTTTTCCTTCAAAATCTTTGTAAAACAAAAATATTTTTACCTTTTTAAAATTTTTTTTTGTCTGCCAGCATTTTAAAACTTGAATTTGAACTACAAATTTATTTATTCCATATTATAAAACCTTTAACCTTAATGTATCTTGATAATACCCAATAAGAAGCTAACAATACCAAGAACAATAATCTATTGTAAAATTTCCAGAACTAGTCTACTTAGAGAGTGTTTAGAATGGCTATTTTCCTAAAAAGCATACTACAAAAACCAATTACTGAAAATCTACACAAAATAAAAAGGAATTTTCAATTTCGAAAAAGAATAAATATATATATATTTAGAGAGAAAAAAAATGGTGATAATAATTTTTTCTACAAATGCGAATAAAAACAAAACTATTTCTCACAATGTAAAAATGATAAATAAAATTGTACATATTGAAAATAATTAGTTTTAATGACATAGATATATGCATATTGTAATAAATAATGCTGGAGAACTCAACAATCTGATTCTGATAAAAAAATTAAAAACGATTAATCGACTAGTGCTAAGAAAAGAAAACAAATAATAATAAAGCAGCTGACAAATTCTACATTTTGTAAAAAAAAAAGCAAACAAAAACACTGAAATTGTTTCATCTTATTATTTATGCAAGTGCAGACTTGAACCGATTGCGAATTACAAGCACTCAATTGCTTAAACAATGCATTGCACAACTCGCCAAAACAAACACAGCATGCAATGCGAATTCTCCGCCGAGCAATGGCAAATCCTTTATGCGATTTGTAATTCATGAGCAGCAAGCATCGCACACAAATTCTTATCTTACTATCGAGTAGCTTACACACAGCAAGAGAGAGAGATAGAGAGGAGAGCAAGAGAAATGCTCTCTTCGACTTAGCTGGCTGCATAACTATATTCATGGGCAAGCAGCAGCTGAGGAAGGGGGACGACGATAACTTAAGGCGTGCGGAAGCCAAATCGGCGTCGTAGAAAATTGAATTTGCTGCCAGCGGCGGGGAGAGAGTAGGTGCGGGTGTGTGTGTGTGTGTTGGAGAAGGGGTAGGGGAGGGGTTGCTTTCTTCTGGGACTTTGTGCTCTTGACGAGCGGCTTGCAAAACGTATGTACATGCCTAATGAGCCATGAAATGCCAAGGTTTTTTGGTGTTCTCTCTTCTACTCTTACATATATTTATTTGGTGGCTAATCAGCGACAGCTGGTCAGCCCTCAAATACCGTTAACCTCATCAGATACTGTAAAAGCATACGTAATTACAGTTGTGAGCTGCTGGCGCGTAAATCAAACAAAAATCAACTCAACTCGGCAAATGCTCTTAATTAAGTTTACACTCTCCCAATTCGATTTCGTTTTCTTTGCTGGGTGTGGGCTAGTGGATGGAGGGGGGGTGTGTGTTGAATATAGTCACGCCAGCCGACAAAAGTGTTCATAACGTTTTGTTAATGACCAAATAATTATGCATAATTGAGTTTATTATTATGGTTATTGCGCAAGAACAAATAAATCAGTTGAATAAACACTTGGAGAACTGAAACTCAGCTCAGCTATGCAGGTAATTTATTTAAATTGAACTCATTTTATATCCAAATAAATATATTTGTTTGACACGTAATACAGCACAGAAAATGTCTCGGTGTGTGAGTTATTTAATTTAGTTATAAACTATTATAAACTATTTAATTGCTTTAAAATACTTGAGCTTTATTTTAAATATGTTGTGCCTTAAATTCTAAATTACTAAAAGTGGAGTTGTGCTATTATTTATATTATTTATTATTATTTACTATAATTGCCCCAGGTGATTTAAATTTCACAAATTGGACAGCTCGGGGTATTCAAATTGAAAGTGTAAAAGTGAAATGAATAAAAAATATTTATGAAATATAAACTGACTAACCAATTAGCAAATATATTTGAAAATTGTTCTGTATTGAGCTTATTGTTATCAAAGGCAATAAGGAAATAAATGCCAATATTTTAAGGACTCAGAAAAGCAGAGAAATGCAAAAGTGGAAAATGCAAAGTTTGTGTCGCCTGTGGCAGGCTCAGCTGCTAGCCAATGAGCGTGTGTGTGTGTGTGTATGTGTTCATCTATAGATGTTGGTGTATGTGTGTGTGTGAATCTTTTTGTTGCTGCATTTTTCGAATTAAGTTGTTCAGGTCAAAATGCTGAAGCAGCTTAAAAACATTCAGATGCAGATACAGATACAGATGGCAGATACAGATGCAGATCCATATGTATATATATTTACATACATATACATGTATGTTCAACCTATGCATATATTTACTTATATCACGGCATTAAATTAATATCACTCATACGCCCTGTAATCGCCAGCGGATCGACCAAAATAGGCTCAAGTAGTTGATTTGCGCGTCGTTGCCGCCTTGTCAGAGTTCAAGACTCATAATTTATGCAGCCACGCCCCACGTATACCAAAACAGCCCATCAGCATTCATTTTGCCAGGTCACGTAGGACAATGAGCGCCAACAACAACAACAGCAACAGCAAAAACAACAAGAATGGCAAACATTTCAAATGTAATTTTCACTTCTTCTTCGCAATCTTGACAAATGCCGCAGACATTTTGGCATTCAGCATTTGTTTGATTCTAATTGAAAGTTTTAACAATTAGCGGGCCCAAATTAGAAAGCGGCAACAACAACAACACAACAGGCAACAACAAACGACAACAAACAACAATAAAAACAACAACATACAAATAACAGCTACAAGTTTTTGTTTATTTTTGAACCAGCTTGCGAGAAGAATTTAATGAAAAACAAAAAAAGAAACGAGCCGATTGAAAATGAAAATTAAATACCCTGACAGAAAACAGATATCGAAGAGAGTGTTTCTATATGGCAGCTATATGATATAGTAATCCGATTTTGAAGAATTTATAGCCAAAAGTGAGCAGTAAATTAAGAAATATATTTAGTGAATTGGGTTTAGATATATTGAAAAATACAACAGTTTTTTATACAAAAAATCATCTTTCGGATCGATTCTTCCTATTTCAGCTATATGTTAGATTAATCGGACATAATCTGTGACATATATTCAAAAATATGGATATATTCCAAGTTGCATCAGTTTGAAAGCTAAGCAACTAATTCGCATGGAAACAAAAAGACAGACAGTCGAGTCAACTAGTAATGCTGACCAGCAATATATATAAATACTTTATTAGACTCGCAGACGATTTCTTCAATGTGTTACAAATGTCATGACAAAATTAGAATACCCTCTCCATGGAAATAATCACTATATTTGAAAGGTCAAAAGTAGCACTCAAAGCAGCTATGCTTGAAATGTATTCCGGGCATTAATAACAATAACAAACAAAATTTCGTTAGTCAAATTCCAGCTTTGAAATATTCTTCAAAAAATTGTTTTAATGAATTTTAATAAGAAGTTAATTTTGAACAATGTTTGTAGAAAAGTGGGCGGCAAATTTATACGTTTTTTACGATTTGGTTTTTGGTTGGAAAATAAAATTTATTTGAATTTTTGCAATACGGAATTAATTAATTAAAATTGGGCATAATTAAGCAATTAAATTTGTATAAATTGGCATAATAAATTTTTCGATTATGCGCCATAATGCAATTAATAATTATATATAAATTAAACTGAAAATAATAATAATTTAATGCTTTCTTAATTGAATAAGTTGTGCTTAAATTTGTGGCCATTAAGCGTCGAATTAAATGAAAAGAAGAACAAATGTATATATTATGCTGTCATGATTATCTATCGCATTATTGCGTGAGCTGTGGGCGTGTTATCTTAGCCAAGTTAGTTGCCTTCAACTGCAATGCACATAAATCAATGACAATCAAAATTCATTTCGCCTGTGTTGATTTATTGCGTTTGTTTGATTTGCCAGGCAGAGACAAAAAGACAGATGAAGATACAGATGGGTGCTTAGCTACACATATATATATACACATATATATCTATATATATATATGTATTTGTATATGTAGAGTAGGGGTTGATTCTTTTCTTGTCAGCAATGCATATTAATGCGAACTGTGAACTCAACATTTAGCTTGCCTTTTGTTATTTCTTTTTCATTTTATTTTTTTTCTTCTTCTTTTTTTTGTATAAATATTAAATGTATGTATACACTGTTTGAGGGGGAGGGAGGAGGAGGAGGAGTAGGAGGGGTGTAGAGTGTTTCTGGGGTAACCTTTTCTGTCAAATCATCAATCAATCAAACTCGTGTGATTTGCTACAGTTCAAATCTCGCTCTTAGTTCAATCGTTCAGCCATTCAAGCTGAAATACAAATATTTGCTTCTTTACCCACCGCCCGCCGCCCACACCCCCTCCCTCCTAAAAGTACAAAAGCGTGCACCCCTACCGCTTCCCATGGGGCGTGGCACACCTTCTTTTTATACCCTGAACCCATTGAAAGTGGCCAAAAAGGTTACAATGGTTTTGAGCAAATGTATGTAACAGCCAGAAGGAAGAAGCCACTCCGAGTCTATATAGTGTATATATGTTCTTGATCAGCAATAACAGCCGAGTCGATATGAACACGCGGATCTCAGAGACTATCAATGTGGAATATAATTTTTTTACAGCTGCGTTTAGGGTATATGGTAGTCGAGCTCACTCAACTACAGCATTCTGACTTGTTTTTTGTTGTTGTGTTTTTTGGAGAGCCTCTCAAGTGCGGTGCCAGGTTGAGGGCTTAAGCTCCGTCCGTCTGTTTGTCCGCTTGTTCCTTCGACTGACTGACATGGCTTACAAATGAAGGCC